TCTCTTTTTAAAATATAATACATATATGTATTGTTGATGACATATAAAATATTGTTGATTATCTCGCACGAACATTGGCTGCGTTCAGTAGAACAAAGTGATCAGTGAGCGCTTAGTGATTCTCGCTCCTAATTGGTAAATACTTCTGGGTCTATGAAGAATCTAAAAGAATGCTCCAATCATAGACAATAATCACTAAGCGCTTACTGATCACTTTGTTCTACTGAACGCAGCCATTGCTAAGTTATGCCTCGTCTACAATGGGGTCGTAGAGTCATAAAATATGGTTGTAGAGTCATGGCAGTAGTCGCTTGAGAGATCGTAATCGCTGTCGTTCAAGTTAGGATTGTCTACAATAGAGTCGTAAAGTCATAGAATACGGTCGTAGAGTCGTAGCAATGGTCGACTGAAAGGTTATTTTCGATCGCAAAACGCTTGCAAGCACAGTCGCTTGAGTTGGTTCCAATCAGGGCGGGCAAGCTCGTATATAGTTGATGAGGACATTGTAAAGTGCTATCTGATAGTGGCGGGGGCGAATTAAATCAATATGGCGGCTTTCCCGCAAAATTAAAATGGTATTTTTCTGCATTATAATTTTAATGTAAAACTGTATTTCTTATTTTAAGTAGTAAGAAAAAATCTTACATCAATTATATATTTGTATAATTGTAATGTATAACCGTATGCCAACATATAATTGATGTAAGGATATTTGCTCTTAATATAATTAAACTACTAAAAATAAAGTTTTTATATTTTTGTATAAAATACATGTTTATGTTTAATAATGCTAATGTAACTTCATACAAAATTAGCTTTTTGTTCAACGAGCATATGATGAATTTTTTAATAAATGACATGATAATTTTTAAAAAATGAATTTTACAAAATGACAAGTTATAATAATTTTGTAAAAAATATATTAATTTGATCCCAGCAAACATGATGACGTATTAATAATTAATTGGCGTCAATTATACATTGTCAATATGTCTTTTGAAGTCGCTAATATATTATTATTTCTAAGATGGATATATTAAAAATATAATTTAGCAACTTTTCATAATTATTAACTATAAGTATATAAAAAGGTAAGATTAATGGTAAATAAATAAATATATAAATATATAAATAAATATATATATATATATAAGAAATTAAAATAAAAAACATTTATTCAACGGAACTACTTCATCCAGTCCACTATAATGTGTAAAACCATATATTATATATATTAGATTATTATATTTTACATTACAAAATTCATACATTTCCTATGTTTCATAAAATAATCATTTGCAGTTATCATAAGAGCATCATTACAATTAGGATGTAACGTACCTTTTAATATTTTTCTAATATCTTCAAAATAACGTTTGATGATTCTCTCCGTATTTTTATGTGCGATTATTTGTGTTAACGATGCAATATGATTACATTCTAAGAACTGAAAATCTATATAATTTATTATAATTTCTTTAATGTATCTAGAAAATTGCAGAAAGTGAGAAATCATTGGCAAATAATAATAAGTAATGCTTACAATTTTTGTAATGCCAATTGTAAAAGTTTCATTTTGTTGTAAGGTTGTTACATTTATATGGCACGTCTCACAATTCTTTTCATACATGGAACTTATATTTTTTATAATATAAGTTGATATATTGGCAATACTAATATTTATATCATCCATTATTGGTATTACCTTTGGCAAAGTAATTTGATAATTTAAAGTTTTATTTTCAGTCAATGAAAAAGTTAAAAGTTTTTTTAAGTTTAATAAATATCCAGATGTATTATCTGGCTCGCAATTTCCAAATATTGTGGACATATCAGTATATGTATTTATTAATAAACTTTTGAAATATCCTATAAATGTACTACATATAGGGTTAGTATTTTGTCTACCGTGTTGCCGGATCTCCCCAAAAAATTTTCAAGAGCATCTTGATTGAATGTTTTAGTTACAAAAGTTGTAAAATTATTTTCACGTAAATATTCACTTAATAATTTGAAACCTTGTAGTGTATGTATCCAATTTTTTTAAAACTATTGGAGTTTTCCGATCATGAGATTTATTTTTAATAAATTCCATACTTTTAAATGTAGACATAGCATCTGTCCATAATTGTTCATGTGCATCATCATTCAATCGTATACTACCATTTACGCTGTCAAATAATCCGTTAAAAAAACAATAACTTAGCAGTTTCAATACCTTCAGATGACATAGACTTATTTGAAGTAAGATTCTTGCTTTGACTTCTACTCATTAATGCTATGATACTTGATACAGTATTGCTAAATACTTGCGCACAGCACGAGACTTTCATTTTCTTAATTTTATTACGTACAACATGACAATCTGTTAATTTACGCATTGTTCGGAAATGGCCATTGTTGCAATCAATTTCATAAGCATTTTCCACGTGTGACCATTTTGCTATTTGTTCTTTGCCATCTTTTAATTTGTACCGTAAATTTTTAGTTATTAAATTATTGCGTATGTATTTTAATAAATGTGGTAGATCATATAATGGAATAATTTGATGATTTCTTATAATTATATCGTGCTCTAAAAATACATTATTAGAAAAAGCTTCTCGTTTGGAATCCAGTATCAGTTGTTGTATAGCTTTTACGTTACTACTGCCTTGGTCACATACTGAAGCGACAATTTTTAATCCTATGTCATGTGTTTTGATTACAATTTTTTTAAACATGTACAATATTATTTGATGGCGTAGAATCTCTACAAAATGAAAACACAATTGGTTGTTTCCATGGTTTGCTGCTATAAATTTCTTTTAACATCCAAACTAACACATGATCAGCTATTTCCAATTTTCTCTCATCGCCATCATCAATAAAACCTTCAACAAAATCTGCAGTTGGGTTATACAATAATGCAGCATCCAGTTTCATTTCGTCGAAAAGTAATACGCAATATTTGTATTTTTCATCTGTGAATGATTCTACACGAGCTTTTATTTCATCAAAAATTATATCACAAATACCTGGTTTTAATATAATATTTTGTAACAATTTTCTTAATGTTTCCTTACTAGGTAGATAAAATATTTGTGCCATATAAGCTTTAAGACTTTTTTTATAAAGTGACAGTGCAAATATTGTATCTTGTAACGTATATTCTCTTTTATATTTATTTCTATTCATATTTCTTAAATATGATATAAAAAAGTCTTTAGCGGATGTTGGCATTTCATCTAAAGCAGCGAATGATTTCTCGTTCAAAAATCTGTTTGCTTCCTGCAATCTATGCTTTAAATTGTTCTTCCTAGTAGTAATGCGCAAAACTACTTTTCTCAGTGATGCTATTGTATTATATATTTTCAGATCTTGAGGATTAAGATGCTTCTTCTTGCGACTAGCCAATAAGTTAAAGATAGAAACTGGAACATGAATGGATTCAAGATTTAAAAGTTTAGGAGGTTTCCCAGCAAGAAATGACTCTTTGATCGAAGTCCAAACCATGAAATCGACACTGATTTGGCATCGTTTTGACGTCACTTGATAAGTTATTTCTCACTGGATTAGAAGTAGACATGCATAGGAATAGATTACATTCTATGAAATCATATATGTATTGCACGTTTGATAAAGATAAGAAGACAGAAAAGAGCAGGCAACACATTCACACATGCATACATATTTACCTGTTAATCAAAACAGTTAGTTTAATTTCCTATGTAATAGGCAAAGTAATAATATTTGGATTGATAAGGAAATGAATTGTACGTTGGTAAAATGATTTCTGGATTGGTAAAGAAATGAGTAGTTAGGTACAAATATTTTAAGGCAATAAAGTTCCTTTTGATACTTCTTTTATTAACGAAGATATTTAAATTGACTGCATTATAAACTAATAATACAGTTGCACTAAAAATAGTAATAAATAATAAATAGTAATAAATATATTATATATTCATATATCTCCTTACTTTTTTCCTGTATTACAATACATATTATGCGTTAAGGATATTTGACGGGAACTATAAGAATTTAGTCGTAGTTGCGGTCAGACACACTATACGTATGTAAACACATATATATACACAATATATTTACCACATATATATATATATGTGCATGTAAATATTCATGTACATATATATGTATATATATAGATTCATGTCTTTCGTTAAAATAGAAATATGACCAATACATTTTATGTATATGATCATATCTTTGTTAAAACTATTGTAGACAATTATTTTTATTGTGATTATATACAGGGTGTTTGATAGCTGATCATGCAGATGAAAGTTGGAGATAGATTGGGTGTAGCCGAGAAGAAAAGTCATGTACCATAATGTCAAATTGCCAATAGTTATCGAATTATTAATTAAAACATGTGAGCCAACGAGCGTGTAGAGAGCGGAGGGCGGCCGCAGTAAGCACGTAGACATTTGATACAGGCGGAGTCAGCGAGTGACAGTAGGCGAGCGCGCGCGGCGAGGGGCAACGTAAGCGACAAGAGGCGATCGCGCGCGACGAGGAGCGAGCGAGCTTTTTCTTTACAGCTTTTTCCTTATAGCTCGCTCGCTCCTCGTCGTTCGCGCTCGCTCCTCGTCGTTCGCGCTCGCTCCTCGTCGTTCGCGCTCGCTCCTCGTCGTTCGCGCTCGCTCCTCGTCGTTCGCGCTCGCTCCTCGTCGTTCGCGCTCGCTCGCTCCTCGTCGTTCGCGCTCGCTCCTCGTCGTTCGCGCTCGCTCCTCGTCGTTCGCGCTCGCTCGCTCCTCGTCGTTCGCGCTCGCTCGCTCGCTCTTTGTCGCGCTCGCTCGTCTCTTGTCGCTTGCGCTCGCTCGCTCCTCGTCGTTCGCGCTCGCTAGGTATCAAATGTCTATGTGCTTACTGCGGTCGCCCTCCGCTCTCTACGCGCTCGTTGGCCCACATGTTTTAATTAATAACTCGATAACTATTGCCAATTTGACATTATGGTACATGACTTTTCTTCTCGGCTACACCCAGCCTATTTCCAACTTTCGTCTGCATGATCAGCTATCAAACACCCTGTATATCATACCTTTCGCTTTTCTTTTTCTTTCCTTTATTATCGGCATAGATACAGGATTCTCTTCATTTCTATCTCTTCTTGTTTCTGCCACCTCTTCTCCTGAACATGTAGATATATCTATTTCACATAACATTATATATATAATTAAGGTATAATTTTTTTGCAGTATTCATTGAAATCTATATAAATTTTGACTATGTACCTCTGATATCGTCATAATCATTGCATTCTGTAATATTTGGTGCTTGTAGATCATCTGTGAAGATATATTAATATAAATTTTTAAAATATTATTTATATTTAAATTATATAAGCTATCAAATTATTATATGTATTGTACTTTATTTTCATTACTTATTTATTAAATATTTAGTACTTACTTTTTAATAAATTTGTAATAGCATTCTCATTTGTATTTAAACATGCTACTTTGTGTTCGTCAATGTTAATTGGCTCTGAAAACAAATTTGATAACGTACAACTTTTTTTAAAATTATTATGTAGCATTGAAATATCTTCCTTTATTATTAATAAAATTTAATTAACTTCACCTATCAAAACTAAAAGTATATATAAAACATATACAAAATATCTCATAATTAATGTATGTACTGATTATAGATATTATTAAATAAGAAAGTCCTCTATCATTGTATAAACAAGTATATAAACTTTAAATTATTAATTAAAGAAATCGCCTATAATAATCACATAAAATACAGTTGGACAAGATGTATAATATTATCCCAAGAGGAAGGTGTCTAGAATCTTACAGATATTGTCCTATTTCATTACATGCTGTTATTTACTAATTTTCTATTACTAATATCTTAGTAATTACTATGTTTCTTTGTGAAATATTATAACTATTCTATTCAGTTAGAAATACTCTATTTATATGTAAATATTAGTACAATAACTGTTCATCGTCTTGTATATTTTATACAAATACCTGGCAGCAATAATGTTGGTATAGCATATGTACTCAATCGTTTTTTTAATTTAAAATTATCCTCAAAATGGTTTTCACATATTGTCCTTTTCATTATTTTTTTCGGAAGAATGGTCATCAATGATGGATCTCCACTTGCTGATATCTATTATAAAAACCGTTTTTGATCCTTAATTGGATTAGGAAATGCAAACATCCGTTTATTTCGTTTACACAATTAATAACAGCACACTTTTTGTGACTCATGCTGTTAAACAGTTATAGATTAATATGTATATTATTGACTAATATTTATTGCTCTATCTTACAAAATTTTTTCTTTTAATATATAAAAACCTGTATATATATATATATATCTTTGTTGTCTTTAAAAGATCCTTTTCCTTCTTCTACCTTTTCTTTTCTTTCAACAATGCAATACTACAATAAATACTACAAAATGAACTCTCACGCTGAAATTTCCTGACATGACAGAAACGTAACGGGAAATATCATAGAATTTATATAATCTAATGAAAGTAAACTTCATTTTTCTGCGTCATCTGATAGTGGCGGGGGGGAGTTATTCAGTCCTCATCAAGGTTATTTGAGCTTGTCGGCCCTGGTTCCAATCCAATTTCAGCGACTATTGTAACGACTTGAGCTACAATAGACCAATCAGAGGAAAGATTTTATATACCACGCTATGTAAACAACATGGGAAAATGATATCGTGTGTGGACGGCACTTATTTATTCATTTTTGATAGTCACCTTCACAAATTTCATCAGTATCACAAGGATCAATGATAAAGAATTTATCAGCAAAATCGCCTACTTGCAATACAAATTTTATTAATATTTCTGAAGGCAAATGATTGATAAATTACTATTTTCCACAGAAAACTTAACCATTAATTACATTCTTAACACTTCTAAATAAATTTCAGATAGCGAGAATATTGATCCAGCAAATAAGCATAACCTCAAAGTGCCTAAAACAGATATCAGAAAAAGAAAGAATATAAGTCTTGATATGAATTCTCTAATTATGGAATCATCACAGGCTATTACTGCAGCCTGTTCAGCTTTGCCAGCATTGCTGAACAGTACAACTTCCACGCCAGATACAGAAGAAGAGAAAAGTATGGTGACAGTCTTATTACATAGAATAAAACGTGTACCTACCCAGGTAGCAGACTGACGTCAAATGACATACTAATGACGTTAGCTAACGTCATTAAGACGTCATTAGTACGTCATTTGACGTCTGCTACCTGGGTATGCAACAAAGAATAAAATGTTTTATCAAACTGTTGGAAATATTGGAATCATTTCAGCATGAGTGAATAATTATATAGACATTGCTGATAGAAAATATTAAAAATATAATTGTCCTATTATAGCATATGTTATAGTGTAATTGGATTCTATATGGAATATTGTCAGCAATTA